TATAAATTTTACAGTTATTAAAAAGTTTTGTTGTTATAGAAAAAGAGATAGTGTTAAGAGTTATAAAATTACTCTTTATAAAGTTTGAAATAAATATTAGTAATTTAATTTAGAATAAAACAGCGGTAATTTAAAATTGAACAATAAGAACATTATTTAAATGATAATATTGATAATATTGAATAATATTGAATAACAAGATATATCTATTAAATTAATTTAACGCATGAGCTTCTATATCTGAATCTTTTAATTGTTAATATTGTTGATCAACTCATTAAATATCATGAATATTCTATCTCATTTGTAATAATAATAATAAAATATTGCTTCGTTAAGGAGTTATGGTATATATAAACAATTAACTCGTCATTTTGATCTTAATTTAATTGAATACGATTATTAGTGTAATATATGAACATACAATGTTTTACAATTTGTAACGCTAACTATAATTGAAATTATTTAAAGGATATGTAATAATATAATATAATAATAATATAATTAAAGATGATTTTGATATTAAAAAGATAATTTTAATTTTCTTATATAGTTCAAATTAATCAGAAATTTATTTTTTGGTATTTAATTCTTTTACTATGTTTATATATAAAGCTTTACAAAGAGATCCGTTCTAAAAAGATATTCTCCTCTGTAGCAGCACATGCAAAAAAGGATAATCCGGAAAAATTGGAAAACAACAAAAAATCGTTATTTTTCTTCTGAGATTCTAAATAGAAAGAACAATTTTATGGAAATATTTAAAAATCAGTATCTAAATATCAGTTAGCCACAGATCTGAAAAGCTTTATTGGATCATCAAAATAATTATATAGGAATCAAACATAGTAATGCTATACAAAATTTTAACAATCAACTTGTGCGTTCTACATAATTATTTTGATAGTTTATCAAAATTATGTTCAAATCTGTATTTAAAATTAAATTTTTAGATATTTTATAGTAAAACTTCTCTCTGCGTACGTTGATTAAAAATTTGTTCTCCAGTTTGACGAATATTCAAATCTTTCGTGAATTTTTTTAACATTTTTCATCGACATCCCCGCGTTTCGTAGGGCACGTACACGTGGACGCGTGGACGCATCAATGATCGTGCGCTGGCTATCGGCGATGTTGCACGTTCCAGCTCGTCCAGCCACCCACACGCGAACACCCGCTGATACACGTGAACAGGAGAGAGAAAGAGAGAGAGAGAGAGAGAGAGAGAGAGAGAGAGAGAGAAAGAGAAGAAGAGAAAGAGGAAGAAGGAATATACACGCGAAGGAACACGCGACACGCCACGGAGAACACGCGCAATTTCGCAACGCGCGAAGAATGCCGCGAGTGCAGCTGTGGGTCGTTCGCTCGCTGCTCGCTCGCCTGACCGTTCGCTCCTTGGCATCCGGATTCCAACGTGAGGAAACCCCGAGCGAATCGGATAGAAGCCGCCGCGCCGCGCCGAAGAAGATCAGATCGCAGCTCGCGAGGGACAATCGCGTAATCTTCCGAATTCGACCATCTGCGTTTGCTCGTGGGGAGAGAAAGATAGAGAGAGGGAGAGGGAGAAAACAAGAGGACCCGAGGAGAAGCCGGAATTCGGTAGTAACGGTATACGGGAAGCTCAGTGTAGGCGGACGTCCTTGATTCTGATGATAGTGATCAAGACTCCTCGCCTCAGCCCTGTCCCTTCCAGAATAACTCCTCGCCTGATTGGGCTGCGACGGAACTGGATTGCAGGACCGGTCGCGCAGTCACGTGTCGATGACTTTAGCAGGAATCGATGACCTGGGGGGAAGTATCCTTCTCGTGA